GTATGTAGTCGAGCTCTATATTGGGAGCTCCATTGGCTGATCTCTTCCTTGATTGTTTTGATTTGAAGATCACGCCTGATGATCGTATTTGGGACGTACCATGGCGCGTTGGTTATTAGGCGCAGTACTTTTGACTGGAAGCGTTCCAGTATTTCTATGTTGGAGTTGGATGCTGTCCCCCAGAGTTGTAATCCGTAGGTCCAGATGGGCTTGAGGATGACCTTGTATGCCAGAAGTTTGTTGTGTATTGAGAGACTGGACTTTCGGCCTATAAGCCAGTACATTTTGGAAAGTGTGAGACCAAGTTGTTTTCTTTTGGTAAAGATATGCTTGTGCCAAGTGAGGCGTCTGTCCAGATGTAGACCGAGGTACTTGACATCATCTGATTGTGGGAGATCCTCATTGTTGATATTGACCTTGGGACAAGTTTGACTTCGGGTGGTGAATGTGACGTGTGTTGACTTCATGCTGTTGACTTTTAGGCGCCATTTGGTTAGCCACTCATGGATTGCTTGTAGGTTGTTTTGCAGTTTTTGTGAGGCTACAGTTGGATTGGGGTCTGACGCTAGGATCGCAGTGTCATCTGCGAAGGTGGCAGTGATGGAGTCATGGGATGTTGGTAGGTCCGCGGTGAAAAGGAGGTAGAGCAGTGGGCCAAGTACACTCCCTTGGGGCACTCCTGCATTGATGGGGTGGAGGTTAGTATAAGATTCTTCTATTTTGACTTGGAAGAATCTGTTGTGTAGATAGGATTTGAGGATGAGATAGTAGTTGAGTGGAAGGGACTGTCGGAGCTTATAAAGAAGTCCTGGGTGCCATACTTTATCAAAGGCTTGCGAGATGTCGAGAAAAGCCGCAGAGCAGTATTCCTTGGCTTCCAGTGCTTCGTTGATTTTGTGAACTAATCGGTGTGTTTGGTGAATCGTGGAGTGCCGTTGGCGGAATCCAAACTGGTGGTTAGGTAGCAAGCTGTTTGTTTCGACTATTGGAAGGAGGCGACTTAGGAGAAGTTTCTCATAGACTTTGGATAGGATGGGTAATAGGCTAATTGGTCGATAGGAGGTGAGTTCGTTAGGGGGTTTCCCCGGTTTTAGGAGAAGGATGATCTTTGCTACTTTCCACTGAGCGGGGAAGTAGCCAGTGAGGAGAGAGGCGTTAAAGATTTGGGTGAGATACTGTATTCCAACAGGAGGTAGTTCTTTTAGCATTTTCCCCGTGATAAGGTCGTATCCTGGGGAGGTAGAGGACTTGAGGCCTTTGATGATGGAGTTGACTTCTGATTTGCGAAAGCGGATGGGGGGGAGTTCGAGTTGATGCGGCTCTTCTAGGTGGTGGGTGAGTGCTTCTTCGTCTTCTGGTGGGTTTGTAGTTGGATGTGGCTGGAATACGGCCGTTAGATGGTTTGCGAAGGCCTCCGCTTTTTCCTTGCTGGTCTTGGCCCATGATCCTGATGGAATCCGAAGTGGATAGGAGGAAATTGGGATTTGTTTAGCTTTCCTGGCCGCTTTCCACAGAGAGTAATTGGTTGATGCCGATGGGGAGAGGTTGAGCAGAAAGTCTTGAAAACTTGAGTTGTTATAGTCTGTGAGGAGTTGCTTGAGTTCCCGTGTGGCGGCGTTGAATAGACGTTTGCTCTCCGGTGTCCGTAGGCGGTGCCAGTTCCTCCGGAGTCTCCTTTTGTTTTGTAGCTTTTGGGTGATCAGTATTGGGCAAGTCTTGATTTGGTGAGGGGTGGGGTTCTCTGGTGTTGAGCTCCAGCCTGCCCATTGAATAGAGTCATTGAAGATCTTGATGGCCGATTCTATATCAGAGTCGGTTTTGAGTGGGACCTTTAGTGGAAGCTTGTTGTTGAGGAGGTGACGAAATGCGTCCCAATCTGTCTTGCTGTTGCAGATTCTGGGAGGTGGTACTCGTGGTATGGCTTGGGTAGCAAGAGCGATGAGTACCGGGGAATGATCGGAGGAGAGTTCAAGACAGGATTTTGCGACAGCAAAGTTGGTTGGGATGCCCTTAGTGACACAGAAGTCGATGAGGTCTGGTAGTTTTTTCCTGTCAGTGGGCCAATGGGTGGGTTCTCCGGAGGATAGGTGGTGGAGATGATTGTCTTCCACTGTTTTGAGGAGGACACGTCCTCTGGGTGATATTATCCGGGAGCCCCAGTTGGTGTGTTTGGCGTTATGGTCGCCCCCAGCTATGAATCTGTGTCCAATGGATTGGAAAAAGTCTTGTAATTGCTTTTGGTTGATAGTTTGATTTGGGGGAAGGTATATTGCCGCGAGTGTCAGGGGACCGGTTGTGTCTTTTAGGGTCACACTGGTGGATTGGAGGAAGGTTTGGTTGTAAGGATTTAGTAGATGGTGCTGAATGGAGTTTTTTATAATTATGGCTGTCCCACCCCGAGCTGTTCCATTTGGATGGTTGGAGTGGTGAACTGTGTATTGGGGGATGCGGAAGTGGCTTTTTTCGGTGAAATGAGTTTCGGAGATGAGCATG